ATGCTGGCTGGGGGATTCTGGGAGTTGAAGTCCACAGGACTTAAAGTCGCCAAGGTTGAGAAACACTGCCCTAGAGATGTGCATGACAGAGAAGAAATGCCACCAAGATTGTTGTGTGACAGTAGTTAGTAACATTAGACTTTGCCCATAACATATAGTATTAGATCAAATACATTTCTGTGCTTATCAGAAGTGTAAATATTTTCTTTTCTTAATATTCATTTTTATTTATTTTTTTAACTTGAACATACTGTATCATCTTCCATTAAACAGTGTGTCGTCTGGGTACAAATGTCTCCATTGATAATGATGCTCTAATTTACAATAATAATAATAATCAGCATTATCACTATTCATTTCTCTCTCTACATATTTTCTAATGAGAATATAATATAACATTAGGTATAATAATCTTAACAATAATATTAATCATCATCATCATATTGTTTACATTTCTATCTTAACATATATTCTTTATTTCACTGATCTCCATTTATTTCTCACTTCTGTTTTTATTCTCCAACCATCCATAAAATAGCTCCCATGTCATATAATATTCAGTTTGTTCTTTCTCCTTTATAGTAAGCACTAATCTGTTTATTTCTGCACATTCTAATTCAATTCACATTCAAAGGTGTAGATATGTATTCGCAGGTGATCCAAGACTTACTGAAAGGGATGCTCCCAATTTCCTTTTTTTTCTCCTTTTGATGTGCATTGACTGCACATCAAGGCTTAATGCCCTGCTTGACACAACTGTTTTGACAAAACAGCAGTAGGCTGGGTGGAATTCTCTGCCATCTCATTTTCTGGAGGTATGGGAATCTCCAGAATGAATGAATGAATGAATGAATGAATGAATGAATGAATGAATGAATGAATGAATGAATGAATGAATACAGAAAGTGAATGGCATGTGAGTATGCAAAGCTTCGAAGTATTCTACACTGTTTATTTTAGGTTTGCTGAAAAGTGGTTCCATCCCTTCTCAGAACCTGGCTGAAATTCAGCAGGTTCTGACACGTTCTGGAGATACGATAGCGGAAATTTTGAGTAGTTCGGAGAACCAGCAAATGCTACCTCTGGCTGACCCCAGAGTGGAGTAGGAATGGAGATTTTGCAGTATCCTTCCCCTGGAAGGGGATGGGAATGGGGATTTTGAATTTCATCACTGCTCAGAACTAGAGGAAAAATATCGATCATGAAACAAACCTTCTGATGCTTCTACAGGAAGGAACTCTTCCTGGCCAATAGGATGGGGAAGGCAGTTTTTTTTTTTTACTGAGCTAGTCATTCCAACTTTTAATTTGTTGTTTCTTGTAGTAGTCTGTCCATAAAGCATATTTTGCAATTATACTTTGCAGATGTTTTTCACTATCCATATCAGACATTATTAATTATTAAAAGAGTTAATGCTACTGCTGAGATATTCTCTATCACTGAATAATACCATGCAGCATGAAGAATAAAGAGGCCCACTCAATACTTGTACTTCCTCTTCCCCCTTTTTTAACCACAGTTGTTTGATTAGTTTTCTGTTTCCGCTTTGGCTCCACAAGGAAATGAAGAAACGATACAGATCAATGTTCGTCAGACTGAAGATTATCCAGTTGATCTCTACTACCTGATGGACCTTTCAGCTTCTATGGATGATGATCTGAAAACCATAAAGGAACTGGGGTCTACCTTGTCCAAAGAAATGTCTAAGCTCACAAGTAATTTCCAGATGGGCTTCGGGTCTTTTGTTGAAAAACCAGTTTTACCGTACATCAATACTCTGACGGAAGATCTGCGGAATCCTTGCCGGTTGGTAGAAAAGTTCAAACATTTCTTCTGACTCTTTAGAAATATAGTTTGAACTTAAAATGTGATATTTCTCCTTAAATGCAGTTTGATGAATTCATTGTTTTAATACAGAATTTGGGGATTTCCCCCCACTCCCAGAAGACAGATCAGGGACTGCTGAAAGTGAGAAGTCACCTCCAGTGGCCTTTCATTCATAAACATGCAATCAGAACCCATCCATCCCCTCAAATGTATGCACACAAACAATGTATACTAAATCAACTCTCTTCAAGGCAACATTCTGGACCCACCTTTCATTATCCTTTCAAAAACTTCAAGATTGCAGACAGCTTTGATGGATCAGATACATTGGCTTTATGGGCTCTCCAGTCTTGCTTTAATCATTCTGTTTAGTTTTAATTTTAGTTTTTACTTTATTGTCATTGTACGTACAATATATACACAGTATACCCATACAACAAAATTCACATAATACCTGGAGACCAGGCTGAACACATGACAGTCCCCAAACCTCACCCACCCACCAAAAATTCCCCACCCCTAAACCACCCAAGCATTCACACAACTGACCAAGTAATGCTGTCCAACAGCTCACTAATGGTGGCCCTTTAGTTATTGTTGAGTGTAATTATAGCTCTGGGATAAAAATTATTCAAAAATTGTGTGATCCAAGTTTTAATTGTTCTGTATCTTCTGCCAGAAGGCAACAGTCCAAAAAGATTGTAAGCAAGATGGGAAGAGTCTCATAATGTTTTGCAACATCCTTAAACAGCGAGATGTGAAGATGTCATCTAGGCCTGGTAGCTGGAGCCGGATGATATTCTGGGCAGTTTTAATGATTCTCTGTAGAGCTTTTTTTGTCCGCTGGTACTTTCCACTTAGGATGGTCTCTAGCCTTGATTCCATGGAATCTGGTCTGGATATTAATTATTTATTTCAGTTTGTCCATAAGCTATTCATTTACGTGTGGGTAGGGAGGTGATTATCTAGATTTCTGGCAATTAAGCTAAGGATGCTGTGCTCAGATGCAATACCAGCCTATTCCACCAGACACTGAGAAACTCCACCAGTGGAACATGTTGACGGGGCATTCCAGATTCTATGAACTAACAAGATTTATTGAATTCCTCAACATACTCAAAGCTACAATTGGAATACAAAGCTACAACCATAGAATTATTCTGGTTTCCACCAATCTCAATAAACAGGAAACTACCATCCACTTTCTGATCTGGCAAGGAATAATAGAATAACAGAGTTGGAAGGGACCTTGGAGGTCTTCTAGTCCCACCCTCTGCTTAGGCAGGAAACCCTACACCACTTCAGACAAATGGTTATCCAGCATCTTCTTAAATACTTCCAATGTTGGAGCATTCACAACTTCTGGAGGCAAGTTGTTCCACTGATTAATTGTTCTAACTGTCAGGAAATTTCTCCTTAATTCTAGGTTGCTTCTCTCCTTGATTAGTTTCATATTTTTTTTTAAGATTTAAAATTTTATTGTCATTTATAGGCCGCCCTTTTCCCTGAGGGGACTCAGGGCGGCTTACAATTCGTGGGGAAGGAGTGCAAGACAAAACATGAAATAATATGTGAATAAAATAAAACAATAAAACACAACATTCATTCAGCATTTGGGTTCATTGCTTCTTGTCCTGCCCTCAGGTGCTTTGCACTAGATAAAAGGATAAATGACATATTTGTAAACCACTTATAGAGGGCTGGAAAGCACTATGAAATATATAAGTGCTATTGCTATTGTAGGAAATAGTGGCTTCTCTGCAAGTAATGTTACTCACCAAATATCCTATAAATTGTGCTTTATTTTGGAGCATAAATATAAAACAGGTTGTCCTAGGAATAGTGGGTTCAAAATCCCATCCCTCAGCTATAATGTACTGAACTCAAATCTTCAGGGAGATGCCAATCATATAAACTAAAATCCATCTGAAGATCGTACTGCTGAATACTGAAGAGAATAAAGGGCCATCCCAAATGCGCCTCAAGACTAAAGCTTTTTAATGTGACCTCCATCGTCATGTATAAGCACCTAAACATTTTACTTTACAGAAATGTCCCATTTGATTGTTTGCCAACATTTGGATACAAGCATGTTCTTCCGCTGACAAACGATGCCGAAAGGTTCAATGAAATTGTGAGAAAACAGAAAATCAGTGCCAATTTAGATACTCCAGAAGGAGGATTTGATGCAATTATGCAGGCAGCTGTTTGTAAGGTAAAGAAACAATAACTGTGTTTTATGTTGATTGGGGGTAAATGAAGACTACGTTATTGCTAGCTTTATTTTAGATCAGAACATCCCATATGAAAGTACCTCAATGTGCAAGAAAAGTTTAAAAACCTGGCCCCAACTCTTGGGTAAGGGTGGGTGTTAAGTTGTAGGATTTCATCTGTTTAAAGAATTACCTTTTGCAGATTACATGAATTGTATTTTTACTGTTTTCACTAAAAGCTGTAAGCCATCCAGAGTTTTTACAGAGTTGTGCAGCAGAGTTGTGCAGCAATTTATTGTAGAGCCAATAAATAATATTCTGAATTGCTGATTATGTATATAATTTATTATACTCTACCTCAAGTACTCAGATAATATGGTTGACCTTAACTGCTCTGCAAGTTTCAGTGAAGAGTGGTATTTACTACTTCACCTCAGGCAGCAAAATCTTATGGCTTTTCTCTGATCGTTCTTTCGAATACTAATTTTCATCCCTTTTTTAGAGTAGAGCTTGGCATGTTTTTAATCATCAGAACGAGATAAATCATATTTCATTGTTCTGCATGTGATACCAAAACACAGCATATATTGCTTTACCTCATATTCCCTGTCATCACTTATTAATGTTTTACTGCAGGAAAAAATTGGTTGGAGAAATGATTCATTACATCTGTTAGTGTTTGTGAGTGATGCCGATTCTCATTTTGGGATGGATAGTAAATTAGCAGGAATAGTTATTCCAAATGATGGGAAATGCCACCTGGATCAACAGAATGAATACTCTATGTCAACTGTTTTGGTAATTGCTTTTTATTTTATTCAATCCTTTCCCATTCTCCAGTCTTGTACATTTAATAGTGTTAGAAATTGCATTTGTAGAACTCTATGCATTATGCCTTTTAAAGTATTCTCAAATAAACATGTAAATATATTTTGTACAAGGCCATTTTCAGACGAATTAGAATAAAATTACCCTTTCACCACAGAACTGAATTTCATGCAGGGTTGTGGACATCTCCTATTTGAAAATTATCCTACACTACTTCGGGAGAACGGAGAGCAATCATGTCTTTTACCACCACAGGGACATTAATTTTCTAAATAAGAGGCATCCCAAATCTAGTTTAAAAAGCACCAACTTATTATACCAAATTGTGATGGCTTCCAACACCATACCTGTATCATGAATTCTTAAAGTTGGGGATGTCCTATAGCAGTGATGGCTAACCTTTTTGTTGCTGAGTGCCCAAAGCACGCATGCACGAACCACCAAAATGCAATGCAAATGCATGTGCCCCTCCCGTGCATGCGTCCCCGTGCATGTGCCGTCTCCCCTTGCCCATTTTGGCTTCCACGTTGGTGAGGGAGGCTTTCCAGGCCCAAAATGGGGTGTGGGGGTCGCACACAGCCCCCCGCACCCCATTTTGGCTTCCAGGTTGGTGCAGGAGGCCTTCCAGGCCCAAAATGAGACGTGAGGAGTGTGCACATGCGCTCGAACCTCAAAAATCCAATGCAAGCACCCCTGCACATAGGCCTTCCCTCATGCATGGGCACACACATTCCCTGCATGCCCCCTGCCCCCTGTGCATGTGTGGCCGAAGACCCGAAGACCAGGTCGGTGGGAGGCATGCTGGAACTGGGCTGGGATGACAGCTGGTATGCCCGCAGAGAGGGCTCTGCATACCACCTGTGACACGTGTGCCATAGGTTCACCATCACTGTCCTATACTGTACTTGCTCTATTTTTATCATCCTTCAGTACATATTTATTTGCATACAAGCTCCACTTCTCAGTGATTTTCTCAGGGTTTTGAAGAATGTTTTAAAAACACATTTTACTGCTTGTTGAAGACCCCCTCAGCATAAGTCATCCCTTGATCCAGTGTGGATGTTTGTCCAAGTTTGATGAAGGAACTTTTCTTCACGTAGTCTTTTTCAATCAGCAACCCAAATTTGTGAAAGTGTGAAAGTGCTTTTCCCCAAGTCTGCCCCCTGGGCTTCATAATTTTGTGTGGCTGACACAGATGAATTCTAAACGGGCTTCCCTGCCTTTCTATTTACACAGCTGTATTTATTTATTTGTTAAGCTTCCATATCCCTCCCGTCAAAGCCTTTTAATTCCACATTGTAGGAAGGTAAAATACACAATAGGTAACAAGGCAAAGACAACAACAAATAATCAGCAATTTGTTCAGCCTTATCCCACCAGAAGGTGCCATTCCCTCAAAAGCAATCATCAGGATTCTATTCAATTCTTCGATTCCCACCAACCCACCCACAAAAACTCAATTCTTCATTGCTTTCCAGAACCCTGATAGGGATGAAGGTCATCCTGATCAGCAGATGCTGGCTGTAGAGCAGGGGTGTCCCGACTTGGGAACTTTAAGACTTGAGGATTTCACCTCCCAGAATTCCCCAGCCAACCATACTAGTTGGACCCACCTGTTATAGAGGATTAGGCTACCACCAAGAGGAGGTTCCCAGGAGCCCAGGCATTAAGGTAAAAGATAAAGGTTTCCCTCGCACATATGTGCTAGTCATTCCTGACATTAGGGGGGAGCATGCTCATCTCCATTTCAAAGCCAAAGAGCCAACGCTATCCGAAGACGTCTCCATGGTCATGTGGCTGGTATGACTAAATACCAAAGGCACATGGAATGCTGTTACCTTCCCAACAAAGATGGTTCCTATTTTTTCTACTTGCATTTTTACATGCTTTCGAACTGCTAGGTTGGCAGAAGCAGGGACAAGTAATGGGAGCTCACTCCATTATGTGGCACTAGGGATTTGAACCACCAAACTGCTGACCTTTCTGATCAACAAGCTGAGCGTCCTAGTCACTGAGCCATCAAGTCCCTAATAAGAACCTAATAAGAACCTGTAGGAAACTTTGAGATAATTGTCTTCCTTAATAGAAATCTCAGTGTTTTTCCAAAAGGATTAGATTCTGCTTTTCTTAAACATGAATTTACATTTTCCATAAAGGAAAAGTAGCCTTTGTTTAATTCCTAATATCTTTCTTCTAGGAAGGTGAAAGAAAGTATTAGGGAGGATCTATGCTTTGATTAACCTACTGTGCCCTATCTGCACCCAATATGTGAGCCTTTCATCTGGCACTGCCCAGGTGCTTAACATGCACAGTAGGTTATTTTTGAATTTAAAGTTGATGTAAAGATCAATTTTCCTTTTTGATTTTCTCAGGAATACCCAACTTTAGGACAATTGATAGAGAAGATTGTGCAAAACAACATTCTGTTAATTTTTGCAGTCACCAAGCAACAAGTTCATTTATATCAGGTAACACCTCCAAGTCTTTTCACATTCTTCTTAGATTGGCCATTCAAGATGGTGTCTGAAAAACGCTCTGGGATGAGAGGGACTGAGATTATTTGAAGTTGGGCCATACTGTTTGTGGCCTGAAGTTCAAGAATTGCTGGGGCTGAACTGAACCCTTTGAAACTCCAAAAGATTTGGCAGCCCTGGCCGCAGCCCTGTCCCAGTTGAATTGCCACGAAGTCAATATCAAGATTGAGCAGGCAACGCGAAAGCTGGTACAGCTAAGCACAACATGATTTCCATTTTGGATAGTGACCCAGTCAGGATGGACACTGTGGAGGTTTCTGCAATGGGCCTTGGTGGGGGGGGGGGTGTTCTGACCTAGGCTTCCCAAAAGCATGAAGCTGATTCCTCAACCCGATAAAACCCCTTTTATTTAGTTTAAAGTGAATTTCTCTCCAGCAAAGTTCCGCCCAACAGTCTTTCAAGAGATTTCACAACTGCAGACCTTTATCAGGTTAGGGTTAGGGTTAGGGAGAGCTGCCAGGCCAATATCTTCCAAACGCAACTCTGCAGTAGACAATACTTGGCAAGAAGTCAGGAATAGATCTTCACCCTAATGAATTGAACTAATTGTCTCCTGCAAACTCC